CCCGTAGCTACGCCATTGTTACGCTGGGAATGACACGGAACGTGACAAATACTTGAGTCCATTCCCATCAATGATCACACCTCATCACAAATCAACGTGTCAATTTTCTCTCCTGGCCTGGGGTACATGTATCGTTTTGTTAGGACTCCGTTATTGAGCATGCTGAGTGGATTCGATGAACTATCACTATCATCAGTAAATGTCTCCTGAGACGCTAATCGCTTTGGTATACATTAGACTAGGGCATTCGTGCTGCATTTTAGGAATCCGCCACAATACGGATGTGATGAGATGTTAGTATATCATCAGCAAAAGATATTGTTGAATTTTCCCAACCGTTTTCCATGAAAATAAGACAAAAGACAGGCTTTAAAAAATCTTTCAACACTGGAATGGAATATAGAGCCAATTCATTGCTTTGTGACGATTTACATTTACCTGCAATGTAATTAATTGTAATAATGTAGTTGGGAGAATTAAGGAATCGATCTGTTTAGTTTTTCCCAATTTTTATCGTTAATAATGGCCCGTTTTCACTCAAACTTTTATATTATCTTTAAATGTACATCTAACATTGAAGTGATCACCTTAGCACCATTTTCTTTCATCTTTATAATGTCAGGTTGTACAATGTTACCGAGTCCCTTTAAGAAATGTCCATGTACGTGTATCATTCTAAACAAGGAATGAATGCTCTCTAATCTATTTTCGTACTTATGTTATCCCTTTGTATCGGAATGCATGGCATGATCATGATGAAGGCGATGTAAATTTGGTCTGTCGTGCAATATCTTTTCCTTCTTTGTTTGTTCAATTGTTTTGATCATTCCACCCAATGTTTGTCTTCTTAGTCAAGTTTGCTCTAATTCTAAACCATCGCACGTTGAATATATTCTGGATCATATTACTTCAAATGTCAAACTAAACCTTTCAGGTTTCCCATGGTATTTCATTTATCTCATCCATTTAACGTCTCGGGACGTCACAATGCTAAAATCGTCACCTCTTCCTTCCTGTCCCATCCTGCACTGGGAGCCACTTTCATTGGAAAATAAAATCAGACACCATCTTGGGATTGTGCAAACATTTTACAAACGGGTAAAACATATGCCTTAGAGAGGTTATACTTCCTGAGGATTGAGAATATATACTGTGCCCCCGTTTTTAAGGCGTTCTGGTAAACGAATAGAAAGTGTAATCCCAGTAGCAATTATTTTTTCTACGAAGAATCATCTACACCTAATGTGATAGCCGAGGCCCCTAGAGTTTAACAGATTCAATTCTATAGGGAGGAAACAGAATCATTAATCAATCAGGACACGTAGTTTTTGTTTTTGTTTTTCTTTAATGATTATAGATTAGAAACAATGATGCTACCGCTTTTATCAATTCAATCAAATGTCATGTTCTCAAATGTAATTATCTCAGTCTAAAACGTTTCCCTTCGTTAATTCTGACGTTTCAGCTAAAAACATTGGTTGATTTATTGCCGCAAACTCTCCTGGATCGGCTCGTGGTTGAATAAAAAAATATATTTTCTATGTTCGCTAGTCTCCCAATTGCAGGAAAGTCTAATTCCACTAGTTTAGGAGTCATATTAAAATAGCCTCATAGGGAAAATGATGATTGAAGAAAAAAATTATGTAAAAACGACAGCATGTGGACCAGCCTTGACTTTTAAGTACTACTAATTCAAAATACCCGATACTCAACACGGTCAAGGTGTAATGAAACGAATTAGAGTAGGACACAAACACTTTCACGAAAATTTAGGCTAGATCAGAAGTAAGAATCTGGGGTAAAACAGCGATCAACCGAGAATAAAATGGATGGATTTGTTCTTCTTCACTGTCCCTAATCAAGCGGGGCTAGCCGTGATTGTCAATTATCATAGCTGTGCTCGAGTCGTATATCTAATTATGGAGGTGATATTGCAATTAGGGTTGCCTTTCCAATGTTTAAGTTTTAGAGGATAATTGTTATTCCCCAATTCACCTAATAAAATGCACCCATGTAAAAGTAACATTTTGTTCCAACATGTTAATAGCATCAGGAGATTTTCAAATATCAATCATTCTTCGACCTACAGGGGTTTAGGAAGGAAGCAGATAATATCATAAGTAAAGCGCAAATTCATTCGATGGTTAAAACTATAGAGGAAAATCATAAGCTTTCAAAGAACAGAAAACAATATCATGCATCCTCCGTTAATGGAAAACGACCCGCGGGGCATTTTGAATAACCAAAAAAAAACACATACCTGTCTGAAGCTATTATTTTCCCTTGGTACCGAACTATTAGTAAAAAAAAAAAGAATGAAGCAAGCGAGGCGACATGCAAATGATAGATATGAGCTAGGCAGATGTTTTTATACTCTCATATTTTGTTTAAGGAGAAATATCGGATGAAAACTAACAACAGGGACCCCAAAATTAGCATTTAGGGTAAACAACATTTGTTTGAAGATACCCTTTTGAGTTTACTCAATGTCATACTGGCAGACTATATGAAGGCATCATATTTATTCATATGTTTCAGTTCCTGACGACGGTCATGATAAAGTGATCGAAAATTTGAGAACTCGCAAACATGACTCTTAGCGGGGTTTTCTGTTTAGTACCAGAATAGATTGTCGTTAGAAAACATGATGCCATCTACTCTCTTATACCACCCATTGAATACCATGTAGGCCAAGTGAAAGCATGAATTAAACTTCGTATTAGGATGTCTTACATTTATTATATTCAATGAATGCTTCGTACCTTCCACAATATATTCATATCTTTATAGCTTAGATTGATTACATATTATTTTGCATAGTATATACATTGAATATCATGAAAATGAACATTAAATGCATCGTTTAAAATGCAATGTTAAATCTGAGATGCATGACCCTACGTGTTATCAGTGTCTCTGATATGGTGTAGTATTTAAGCCCTAGAACAAAAGCGCTTCAAAATGATCATGAAGTGCCTCAAAAAATATAAAAATCTTTGAGTGAACGGTTTTACCATACTCGTTTCCCCCAATAGACTGTAGTGTTGTAAAAACTTAGGAAAACGAAAAATGAAATTTCAATTTCCAATCATAAATATCTTGATTATCAGACTGGCGATCGGCTCGTAAAAGTCATGGGATTCCTGACTGACAAAAGGATTATAAATATGATTGCAGCATGAGCTAAATTCAGGATTTTGTTACAGAATCTGAGGCAATGTTACCGAATTACTTTAATATAAATGAGAAGAAATTGAATTTATCCAATCTAGGCTCCAATATGATCATCTTGACTCCCAGAGAAGAACACTTTATTCATGAGGCTTTAGCTCCGATTGATTGGGCCTGGAGGTGTGACAGTGAATCCCAAATGTCTGGTTAGTGTCACCATTTGAAGATCCGCAGAGGGGTATGAATAGAAGGGCAGAGGGTGGGGATTGGCGGAAAGGATACACAAACTCATCCTAATTAATTTGATTGAAATGCTTTGGATATCAAACATTTTTTGGTGTGCTATAATTTCAATAAAATGAAGATAGGTGTAATCATTTTCTCCTGTAAAATAGGATTATGGGTCCCATGGCAAATTCACTAGACCCGGTTTTAGAAGTAATGGTAGGCCTATATATGAAACACATCTTAAGGAACAAAAACAAAATAAATATAGCAAATTGATATATTTTTTCAGCAGATTCTAAGATTCCAACTCATTTATACAAAACATTTTCAGTATTACGAAATGTGTATTAAAGGCGTCTACACAAAAATGCAGGTACCCTTAACAATTCTCGCTACCCTAAATAGGTACGAAAATCTCGAAATTCGCGAGACGAGGTAATTTTCACTCTCTCGGGTCGTCACTACAACTTCCGGTATAGAGTCCCATCCCGCTGGCGCTAGCGCCTGTCTTCTCCAATGAGACCAAAATTATTCCAGAAAAAGTATTTGGGATAGCCTTTGGCATAACCATCTGGATCAATCTGCTCCTTATCGAAATGTCTCGAACAAAGCCGCGATTTTTTGGTCAAATTCACTTTGTCCTTGCGGCGAATCAAGCGCAGCCATGTCGCTCGTGTTCCAGCTTCGGTGGGAAATTTCACCCAGGTCACGGCCTTCATCCACCCCCATTTTTCAGGGTTCTTACGCTTGGAATCATGAGCCCAGCACTGTGCAGCCTCACAAAAGAAAACCATCGTCACTGATGTCAAAAGACGCAAAAAACAACGAATGAAATGTTCAAATAAACGTTGAAATATTTGCGAGAAAAAAACAAGACCGAGCAGACGACATATTCGGTGCATACACGTTGTGTGGCGACGGCGTTTTACGTTTGCGCTATCGCGCCTAGTAATATAGCGCCTGCACAGGAAGCTGTAATGTCGAAAAGCTATCCCATAATGCAACGCGCGTTTTCAGGATTTTCCCCGGATCTCGGCAGAATCGCTATTTGGGGTAGCGAGAATTTGGTCATTCGAAAAATATGCGTGTATAACACGAAAGTCTAATGACTTCAAAGAATTTGATTACATAATACAAATTATATCATTACCTGTTATAACAAGATTTTACAATGTCATACAAAATTTAAATTAATTACTAGTTTAAATTATTGTTACTGAGAAGAGTGACATGTACATATTCGTTTTAAATAAAAATAGAGAAGAGAGAGAGAGAGAGAGAGAGAGAGAGAAAGAGAGAGAGAAAGGGAAGACAGAGCGAACGAAAGAGAGAGAGGGAGACGGACGAACAAAAATCGCTTTTCTGTTGACCACCATATGACATGATAAAAGTACTTATCAACTTTAATTGCACAATGATTCCCCCTCTCCTTCTCGTCGCGTTTTATGATACCTTCAGTCTATTAAGGGTAATTTCAGACCGTCTTTTATTGTAGTCAGGCTCGTTCAGAACCAATCAAGGTGCATTATGGGTAAATTGTTTGTTGAAACCTCCTGGCATGGTTATTCAGTTGATCTGAAGAGGTTCGTGTGTCGATATGCATGTACTATGTGAATATAAGATGACTTCATTGTGCTGTGTGCGATAGGTTAAGTGTGTTTTCTTGTTTTGGATGATTGCAGAGATTCCTTTTGGTTACTCGAGTGATTCTATAAGGGATTCAGTTCGGTATACGGTAAGTATTTCCATTATTTTGAATTACCGACCAGAGAAAGAGAGAAAAAAAAAGAAAGAGAGAGAGAGAGAGAGAGAGAGAGAGAAAGAGAGAGAGAGAACTGTAGGATGTATATTATTTCTAATTCATCAATGTATAATCCTTTGTGTTAATGACTCGATATTAAGAATAAAACACTAGAGTATCGTAAGGGGTGGGGGGGGGGGGGGAAAATTCAAATCAGATGATTTGGTGTGTATTGTTGTTGTTGTGTTTTTAGGGGGTGAGGTGACGAGGCACTTATCATTAAAGCTTTTATTCCATTATATAATTGTCTTTTGATCGTTTGGGCTATTTCTATTAAGCGCTATATACAAATTAAATGTTATTATTATCGTTATTACTTGTACCTTGTGCTTAAAGCTCACGAGACATGAGTCAAAGACATTGATAATATTTGTTATTCAAATATGATATGTTTTTTCACATATATTTTTCACATGAAGAAGAAAAAACGCAATCTTTGGTTAAGATATTTGACGTTTAACAAAATTATCTGACAGATTATATTCTTAGACATTTCTCAGATTAAAAAAAAAAGTAGATAAATTCTCCTTCAAAATATATATTGTAGTAAAGGGTTTTATCTAAGTTCTTAGAGAAACCTGTATATTTGTGTACATGGCATACTATATTATCTCTGTACTCGTTGATGTTGTTGATTCTATGGATAACGTTAATAACAACCCTGGTATTTAAAGGGTTTTATGACTCATTTACCGCTGTCAAATTCTCCTCTTGTTTCATCGAAATAGCTGAATGGATATTCTGATTGTTCGTCCATCACTGGTTACAAAGGGGATGACGGACACAATTATACAAAAGAAAAGGGACGAATGGGTGTGGAGAGGATGGCTGAAGGACAGTATATATACAAATAGGAAGTACGAAGGAATTAAGAGCATGATGAGCGCGCAATTTTAATTAACGCCAATATAATTATATTCTTGTATTTAGTGCTTGCCCCAAAAAGCAGTATTCGCCATATTGTGCACAACTAGAACAAGGTTTGTCAAACTCTCCTGATCAATGACTCTGACCTAGTAAAAAAATTAAGACCGGTACCAGTGCCCCCTCTACGTCACTCTCTAGTGAGTATTTTCTCTGATATCGGTAATGATCAGACGCGTTCTTGGTTATGCCTTGTCTGGATGATGCCCTAATTAGCTCTATTTTTTCCATTGTGGTTCGCCGTTGGTGCGCGTTGAGAGCTTTCCAATTGGGATTATCGTGATTATAGTTCTATTCGCATCGTTCACGACAAGGCTTCAATGCAATACATAGTTGCCAAGGAAAAGACTGGTTAATTATAGATAATTAGTTAATCATTGTGCTTTAAGCCTCTTAAGATATTCCATCAATGTGAAAATGATTCTCTCACATATGCATGATTGATATAAATCAAACATACTAACACTGTCCCTTCTCTTTCTCTCTCCCTCCCCCATTCTCTCTCTCTCTCCCCCCCCCCTCTCTCTCTCTCTCTCTCTCTCTCTCTCTCTCTCTCTCTCTATCTTCGTGTCTAATATACGTGTATATTTTATAGAAACGATGTCGTCATTTTGTTTCTCACTTTCTCTTGTATTTCACTCCAATTTATGTTTTCTTCACAACTTTTGACTTGGATGTTGAAAGAAACACTGTTTTCTCCTACCCCGACTTCCAAATATTATTCGCCAATGCAAAGATTCTATTTTGTTAAATACTTTTGTTTGGCCCTAGAATTTTCTTCTTTTTTAGCCTCTCTAAAACATAAAATATTGCTGCTCCGGACTTAGAATGAACATATTTGAATGCCCCCCCCCCCATTCAAAAACAAAACAATAATCGCCAATTAATTAATTTAATTTAACGCTTGAATCGTCAAATGGAACTTTGATCATCTGTTCCAGAAAATAGAAATGAATACTTTCACAGCGATAATGATTTATACAAATTATTTGGTATCGATGCCTGGATTTTATAAAAGGCAGTTTATTATAATTATTATTCTTTGGAAGATAATTGAAAAACGCTCTGAGTGCTCTTCAAACGAGTCGAAAGTAATGAAATCAATTAATTGAGAGATTGATCACATACAGACAGTTTGATAAATTAAGGAATATATCCACTTCCATACGTCAAATAAAAACGGTTATGTATTGTACCAGTATGTACTTATGTTACGAGTAAAATATTTGTTTCCAAATTGATGGCAAAGAGAACAATATAGGAATGTAACTTGGTTTCTTGATTTCACTCTAAGAACAATTACGAATGATGCCTCAATGACGAAGCCAAACGAAGGTCTTGGCATGAATATAGTTTCTTAAGTTAGACGTAGGAGCAATCATTCACGGCTAATTGTGTTAGCTTGCGACTGTATGTGCATCCATGTCTGTCTCCAACTTTCTCTTGCATTTCGCAAATATTTGAATAGAGTCCAGAAATATCCCGCTTGATTCAATTGTGTGAGTGAATGATGCATTTAATTTTTCTAGCCTGAGTGTGTCTTCCCATCTCTCACCCTTGTACTATATTTCAATGCAGTGGCGAAGAAAGGAACCCGCATCCACCAACGAAAGAACAAACAACAACAAACAAACAAACAAATGAATGAATGAATGAATGAATGAATGAATGAATGAATGAATGAATGAATGCACGAATTGATGGATGAATAAATGAATGGATAAACGAGCAAATAAGCAAATAAATAAATTAAATATAAATTCATTACTGACAACATTTATGAATGGATGAATGAATATCATAATTTAATCAATTAACCAATAAATTAGAAAAACGAGGGTGGGGAAGGGGGTAGGGTATCCATGCAACTTTGAATGTAAATACGGCAAGCGGCCTCGCCAAAACAAGCCCATATGCAAGGAGCATATCTTGTTTCTATTTTGGGGTTGTTGTTCAGCAAAGGATCGAATACGTTTGTGGTGCCAGTCCGCCCCCCACCAGGTATTAATTGCTGGATACACCAGGTATCGGTTATCACAAAACTTGCGCTCACCAAAAATAAACTCTCTTCGGCATTACGCAGTTCATTTGCAGAAAGGTTGTCTATATTGACACAACGAACCCGCCTGTAGAGATATGTAGTTACTTGAATTTGATTGAGGGTCTGAATATAATCTATGCGGAAATACTTCAGTCTCTCTGGGTTTCAGCAAATAAAAGACATTGATAATCAATATAGATGCATTGGATTTTAATTGATTGCGTCAATTAAATGATAACTCTGCATTAAGTTGCATTGGATTTTAATTGATTGCGTCAATTAAATGATAACTCTGCATTAAGTTGCTTGGCATATTAAATTGGCCGATCAAAACTGTCATAAACTGAATTTAAACAATAGACAATATTAATATATTCATATCAAAGATAACGAAATCATTTTGTTTGTAATGTCTGCTTGACTGTAGCTCACTTGTATAAAAGAGAAACTTGCTGTATTAAGTTTCAGTTTAATGGTTCATACACTTCACATATTTTTAACATTTTGCAATGATTTCACAAAGTAAATGGTACAAATAAACGTAGATTGTAATAACAGAGACACACACACACAATTCTTTTAATTGAACAAAAAATATTTTTAAAAATATTTTGTAATACAGATATTTAAATATAAATTAATGGATTCTTATATATTTTCTTTCAAAATTTCATGACCCCAATCGTTATAATTCATCTATTAAGTTGTAGATGATGACTGTTTTCAATGAGCATACGTCAATCAAATGTGACGATATACGGATTCATACAGAATAATTTATAGGATTCAATGAAATGAAGGATGGCTATATTTTAATGCAAAGCTTGAATTGATAGTAATGAAGTATGCTACATGTGCAGAGAGTTAAACCTAAAATGATGGACAGTGTAAAGGTACTATGTCCCTTTTGCAGCCAACCTCAAATTCTGTAGAACTTTGCAGGAATTATGAATATGTCATGTACGTCCTATCTGTGAAATTTAAACGTTAGCAGTGTCCTAATATTCAAATTATGCAAGGAAACCCGTTTACTTGCTAGACGTCACTGTCAGACACTATAGAGTGACTGACTGGCCTTTTTCTTCTTTGGTCATAATATGCATACAATGAGCTATAAAGGGTACATGAGCATTTGTTTACATCAGTAACCCACTTCTTGTTATGGCCCAAATTAAACTGATTGACTCTTTGCGCAGCATAAAACGTACGACCATTCCGTACAATGGTCTGAAAATCAGACTATTACGTACTGGCTCTATAGCTCTTAAGTCGATTCAACAACTAATAGTCATTATTTTCCCACTTAAAGACATTTTTTAAGCCCCCCTTTTTTTTAGGGAAGTTCTAAATTAGTATTATCTTTCAAATGCCGTTGGAATTTAACCTTTTCATTTTTTTGGCCTGCAAATGGGACATAGTACCTTTAAGACCCTGCTCTAACGACCTAACTTGGTTTCTTGGCAACATGCGGTAACTTCCATGCTACTCATTCAAGCAACTGAAATGCTGAGTATCATATATTCTCTAACCGATATAATATACCTGAATAACAGCGACTTTCAGCGTGATATACATGTACATGTAAGTTGAGTAGATGACGCGCGGTCAATGTCCGGAGTTCTACATTGATAATCTGTCAGGTGTTAGTGTTCTGAATAGGATGCTAGGTATCCATTCTCATCATTATTAACCAGACTTTTCCCGCCTTTATTAGTAATAATAATATGAAGAAGAATAGTGGGTTCTTGTATAGCGCTCATGTCTGTCAGATTTGACACTCCTTGCGCTCCACAAGTATTACCCCGGTTTTAGCATGGCTGCCATTATTTTCATTTTTATATTTTCGCCACTGTGCGTAATGTGAGGCATTAGACTTTAATATGTACATATTATCTACGATGTGATGATTGAATTTTCAATTATTTAAACTTTCCAACATATTTTAATAAATGTATAGCTGGTATGCTGT